AGATAGTAATCGTGATGAGCATTCTATTAATAGGTAGAGGAAACAGATACAAAAGTGATGGGGAAAGCTTGGCCCTTGGGGGAGTTAAAAGAAGGCCTGTGTAACTGGAGCCTAATGAGCAAAGGAGAGTGATAGGAATTAAGATTAGTGAAGTAGATAAAGGTTAGGTTATCAGGACCTAACCTTTGATCTCTTGCTGTATAGCAAATTACCCAAAAACATAACAGCTTAAAATTGTAAACATCTCCTACATTTTCTCTGAGTTGGGAATCTAGGTGGTTGTGGCTCACAGGGCCTCATGAGGACCCTCAAGCTTGATGGGCAGGGTTACAATTATCTCAGGGCTCAACTAGAACTGGAGAATCCACTTCCAAGCTCACTCGTGTGGATGCCGACAGTCTCAGTTCCTCACTAGCTGTTGGCCAAGGGCTTCCTCTCCATGTGGGTCTGTCTCTCTACTGGGCTGCTCATAATGGTAGTTGCTTCTTCCTTCAGAGTGAAAGATCCAACAGAGTTAAAGAGAGAATAGGCCATTAAAATAGCACCCAAAATAGAAACCACAGTCTTTTATAACCTAATTTTGGAAGTGATGTACCGTCATTTCTGATGTATGTGATTGGTCACACAGAACAACCTTGGTACAGCATGGAAGAGAACTACACAAGGGTGTGACTATCAGGAATTAAGGATCATTGGGGACAATCTTGGAGGCTTGGTACCACAAAGGCTATCATAAGGACTTAGGATTTTATTCTGAAGGGTTTTAATTAGGAGAGAGGCATAATGTGATTCATATTTTTAAAGTATAATTCTGGCTCGTGTTATTTAGATAATGGATTGGAGGGTAGGCAAGAGTGGAAGCAAGGAGACTAGATAGGAAGTTATTGTAGTAATTCTGATGGGAGATAATGAGGGCTTTATCTGAGGAAATGACAGTTAAGAGGAAGATACAGACATATCTGGAATATATTAATACTTTGGATGTACCAAAGAGGAATCACTTTCTGCTCAACACTAAATACCGGTATGGTTACCACCCAACCTAGAACATGGTGGCTGCTACTTGCTTGTTTCCCATTCTCCTTATTTATGAAACACAGGAAAGGTAAAAGTATTTTAACAAATCTAATCTCATGAAAGATTTGTAGTCACTAGAGATTAGTAAACACTTTATTCTACTACCCACACTCACACACCAAAGTTATTCAGTGTCATAAATAAGACATGGATAATGCTAAATAATTTTGTGAAACACTATATTTAATCTTAGTAGTGTTAATAACAATAGAAATCCAGCATTTATTGGGATCTTATTGTATGTTAGGTATTCTTCCAAAGACTTATAAATGTTCTGTGAGGTGGGTATTTATTTTCCTCATTTTACAAAAGAAATTGATACTCAGAGAAATTGACTTCTTCAAGATCACAGAGTAATTAGTTGAACCCACATTTGACCTGGATCTATCTTGTTTCAAAGTCCATTCTTTTAACCAATATGTTGTCTGCTGCCTCTATTACTTAACTCTTTCTTTTGTTAAGAATTTCATAGAAGATTCCTCAACCATATAGTTTTTTTCACCATTAAATCAGTCTTTGTGATGATATCCAACTAAATATTCATTTAGTGAGAAATGGTATAGACTGCTTAGTGAACTTTCAAAAGTAAAGGCAAACATAAAGATAATGAAACTGTTTCAGAATGTTTTGAATAGAAGTAATGCCTACCTATATAGTTTTTGAAGTGGATATGATGTTATGAGTAATAGGGGAAAAAAAGTTTTTTTATCTAAGCCTTTGCACTTGAAAACGTCCACTTGAAGCTCTGAGTAAGAAGGCTGTTAATAGAGGAACCAATCATTAGTTAAAAAAAATCATTCCTTTATTTAAAAATTATTGGATAGGTTCTATATGCTAGGTATTATAATAGGAGAATCACAAAGGTCTCATTTAATTTTCCTAGCAACCCCTCAAGAAAACAGTTGTTTTAGATGTCAAACACTAAGGCTCAGGGAGGTTTGTCATAAACCAGGAAATGGCAGAGCTGGGACTTGAATATAGCCTTAATTCCAAAGGCTGGCATTTTCTATCTTCCTTACCACATTGTAGTCACTAGGTGCAAAGCTTAGCCTGGAGGTAGAAAAACAGACAACAACCAGTTTCCTGAACTTTAGGACCTTAAAGACTGCTTACTCATAACATGCATTCAATTCTTAGGGAAGAAGGTATTTTCCTTCACTTTTATTTTTTTTTTCCTTAGCAGTTATGATAATATTTAGAGTAGAGAACCTTTGTTCTTTTTTTTATGTTAAATTATTTATTGTTCTGTATACTGTTCACATCTAAGTGGTCTTTATGTAACCTATATTTTG